CACTACCGTCTAACAGGGCACAGGCTGCACACTGGGGGACGTCATCACTACCATCTAACAGGGCACAGGCTGCACACTGGGGGACGTCATCACTACCATCTAACAGGGCACAGGCTGCACACTGGGGGACGTCATCACTACCGTCTAACAGGGCACAGGCTGCACACTGGGGGACGTCATCACTACCATCTAACAGGGCACAGGCTGCACACTGGAGGACGTCATCACTACAGCTGGACGCGGCACAGACTGTAGCTTGGGGGAAGTCATCACTACCGTCTAACAGGGCACAGGCTGCACATTGGGGGACATCATCACTACAGCTGGATGCGGCACAGACTAGATTGGGGGAAGTCATCACTACAGCTGGACGCAGCACAGATTACAGTTGGGGGACGTCATTAGTACAGCTTGATGGGGCACAGACTGTAGATTGGGGGACATTGTCACTACAGCTGGACGCGGCACAGACTCTAGATTGGGGGACGTCATTAGTACAGCTTGATGGGGCACAGACTGTAGATTGGGGGACATTGTCACTACAGCTGGACGCGGCACAGACTGTAGCTTGGGGGAAGTCATCACTACCGTCGTAACAGGGCACAGGCTGCACATTGGGGGACGTCATCACTACAGCTGGACGCGGCACAGACTCTAGATTGGGGGACGTCATTAGTACAGCTTGATGGGGCACAGACTGTAGATTGGGGGACATTGTCACTACAGCTGGACGCGGCACAGACTACAGTTTGGGGGACGTCATCACTACAGCTGGACGCGGCACAGACTGTAGCTTGGGGGAAGTCATCACTACCGTCTAACAGGGCACAGGCTGCACACTGGGGGACGTCATCACTACCATCTAACAGGGCACAGGCTGCACACTGGAGGACGTCATCACTACAGCTGGACGCGGCACAGACTCTAGATTGGGGGACGTCATCACTACAGCTGGACGCGGCACAGACTACAGTTTGGGGGACGTCATCACTACAGCTGGACGCAGCACAGACTGTAGCTTGGGGGAAGTCATCACTACCGTCTAACAGGGCACAGGCTGCACACTGGGGGACGTCATCACTACAGCTGGACGCAGCACAGACTGTAGCTTGGGGGAAGTCATCACTACCGTCTAACAGGGCACAGGCTGCACACTGGGGGACGTCATCACTACAGCTGGACGCAGCACAGACTGTAGCTTGGGGGAAGTCATCACTACCGTCTAACAGGGCACAGGCTGCACACTGGGGGACGTCATCACTACAGCTGGACGCAGCACAGACTGTAGCTTGGGGGAAGTCATCACTACCGTCTAACAGGGCACAGGCTGCACACTGGGGGACGTCATCACTACAGCTGGACGCAGCACAGACCCTAGATTGGGGGACGTCATTAGTACAGCTTGATGGGGCACAGACTGTAGATTGGGGGACATTGTCACTCCTCCAAAATACCTTTCAACATCAAAATAAGTGCAGTGTCGTGTGCAGACTCCAGTAAATAAAAGGAGTGGCATATTCTCATAACATGGATATATCATTTACCATCAGGTCTCCTCACAGGTGGTACATCACTCTGCTCTGCATTTTATTCTTGACCTGAGTGAGTGTTGTTGACTTTCTTCCTCTCTCTTTGAATTAAAGCAATTACTCCAACCAACCTAAAGAGTACCATTTTGAAATAGTTAACTAGAGTTGGCTGGAAGAAATGCAAAGTGAGAAAAATACTAGAATGCAACTAGCAAAAAAACCAAAAAAACACTAGAGTTGGCTGCAAGATGTGCAAAGTGAAAACTATGCAACTAGCAACTAACCGCAAGTGATTTACCAGATTTATCAAAGTGAGCTTTTTATACCCGCATATGACTGTGACATCACAAACCAACTGACATTCCAAAGCTGCTCGCAGAGGGCCGTTGGTGATTGGTCCGTTTTCCGCTGTGGGCGGGGCTTCTGCGTAGCCGTGTAAAAACTCGTAGCGTAGGTAACGTTACCATGCTGTCTGTTGTGTACCAATGCTTTCTTATTAATAATCGGTGCCGATTTAAGTCGTTTACAGGTAAGAATGGTCTAATATTGGCATGTATTTTGCGCTGTAAATGATGAATGTTATGTAAATTTAAGTTGTTTTGACTTGACTTTTTGTTTGTGGTGATCGCGGGCTCTTGTACTGTCATTAAAACACAAGATATGACCAATCATTCTTTAATACATCATGTAGCTAAGGTGGTACTAAAAAAAGTACCAGGTACTGTACCCAGTGGAAAACCCCCCAAAAGTGAACCGTACCGAACCGTACCGTGCCGTACCATGCAGTGGAAAAGCGCCATAAGTTTGTTTAAAGCACCCTTTTAAAGATTATTTATATAAAAATAGTTACATACTGTTAAAAATCTAAATTAACACTATAATCAGTATCAACAAAATCCATCTTACCATTTATTAAAATCAATTTACATTGTTATTACAATTGCATAAATAATGTAATGACAACGAAATTATTCTCTTATATGTGAAACTAAAACCGCTAGGTAGCGATTTGTCTTAAGTAGAATAGAAACATTCATTCAATTGATTCGTTCAAACCGAAGCAAAGTTCACTTTATGAATGAGTTATTGAATCACTGATTCACGTGATTCGTTCAAAAACGCTTTGTTTGGAAATTTTCGTCGGCGAAATTGAGCAAAAACAATCAAAATGTACAATAATGCCTAAATAATTGACAATCCAATTATTGTTTATTGAACTGTTGTATAAAATAATGAATGTGTCACATGCAATTGTGCTGATATTCGGGAAAATAGCACTCTTACTTGTGTGATGCTTAATTATTAAGTTATAAACAGAAACAAACAAATAAATAAATAAAAATAAAAACTCATACAGTGGCATTTCTTATCTTAAATTTCTTTGGCATAAAGTTATGCCAATGCCAGACTATAGACTATGCTGAGAGGGATAGACTTACAATCTTTGATCAGTTTGCAGCCCCAAAAAAGTGTTAAATTCAAAATGTTAGAAGAATATTGATATTTTTTATTTCTATTTTGGTCAGATTGTTACAATGACACCACATGACATAATTTTGGTTGTATAATTTATTAAATTTCAGTGTTCTTCTTTAAAATAAATATATGGTAAATCATAATAGGCTAATAAAAAAAGCAAAGTTTTGTACAATCCAAACATATACAACAGGAGTCCCTGGAGTGCATACATTCTTTACTGAACACACACACACACACACACACAATCAGTGGCAATGTGTTTCTATGACAATTTGATTCTTTAGTGAAAAATTAGGAAAGTACATTAATACTGTCAGCAGCCAGCATGAATACATGAAAAAGTCAAGATGGATAATACAGAAGCATTTCATGATAAAACATTTTAAAACAATGAAGAGCTGAAGGTCAACATCTACACACACACACACACACACACACACGCACTCAGATCCCTTGTCATGTGTTCACTGCATTGCACTGCTAAACTGAGTGTCAAGTATGAACAGCAGCATATGGAGAGGTATGAGAAATGCAAAAAAACAGACGCGCTCTTACACACATTCGCACGTGCCTGTGTAACCATAGCAACCATAATTCATAGTTCAAGTAATGGGAGTGTTGTCTTTTGATCCTGTGTAAATTAATACTATGGTAAAATCAAACAGAAAAGTGTCACATGCAGATTCCTGCCTAAAAAAAATAACACTGAACGATGACGTAATCCTATAACATATTCATTAACTCTGTCAATCAAACATCAAGCTCCACCCACTTCTGACTTCCTCAGCTCCCTGCCTTAAAAGAGAGTCGCGTGTCAGCAGAAAGACAGACAGATGGATTTCCAGCCAGACAAACAAGCTGCATGCAGCAGAGCAGGTGAAGGGAATTCTGGGATTGGGTCCATATATACCTTCATATAGGCCCTGCAAGTCCTCTCTCTTTTTTGACGCTTTTTTGGTTTCAAACACAAAGACGGAAGATTAGGAACAACACATACACACACACACACACACACACACACACACACACACACACACACACACACACACGCACTCAGATCCCTTGTCATGTGTTCACTGCATTGCACTGCTAAACTGAGTGTCAAGTATGAACAGCAGCATATGGAGAGGTATGAGAAATGCAAAAAAACAGACGCGCTCTTACACACATTCGCACGTGCCTGTGTAACCATAGCAACCATAATTCATAGTTCAAGTAATGGGAGTGTTGTCTTTTGATCCTGTGTAAATTAATACTATGGTAAAATCAAACAGAAAAGTGTCACATGCAGATTCCTGCCTAAAAAAAATAACACTGAACGATGACGTAATCCTATAACATATTCATTAACTCTGTCAATCAAACATCAAGCTCCACCCACTTCTGACTTCCTCAGCTCTGCTTGTGTCACAGCGCAGTGGCCAATAGGAGCGCGGCAGCTTGTGAGCCAATAGGAAAGCAGGAGTCCAGTAGGAATCTCGTGGACCAATAGGATTTTAGGAGGCCTGCTCATTAGCAAAACGGCAGTTTGAGACTGGAATATTACCCAGTAGCCAATCAGAAAGCAGCGGATCAATCCGATGAGCCAATAGGAAGCAGGATTATTTTCTCTTTGACGTGCTCGGCCGCTTGGCCTGCCACAGGTGGCTGTGGATGGTGAGAGCATCTACGCTGACCGAGACAGACTTGGCGGGGATGACTGTGAACTGCTTGCGGTCGGAGCTGTATTTGTAGAGTCTGTCAATCATTTTGCGGCTGATGGCGCGCGGCCCCGTGCCTTTGAGCTTGATGATCTCCTCTGTTTCAGGGGAATATATGTACAGCGCCCTGAACTGACATCCACCGTCACGGAAAAGGATTATGAGGTGGTTGGACTCGCACCGCTCGATTTCCTGTGGAATTATGGCAATGAGTTATTACATACTCAAAACATATCCAGCTGTATATAAAGATACAAATAAATGTAATTTTTTATTCTATGTTTATTATGCAATACTGTCTTGATAGTAAATTATCTGTCTATCTATCTATCTATCTATCTATGCCAATAATATATTGTATAGTAATAGTTCATACTGTATACTATTTATCAGTATGTGAAACAGTGTGAATCATCTAATATATTACACAGTAATGGTTCAGTGCATACTGCATTTTTTTTTTTTTTAAAGTATGAGAAACATAAAAAAAAAAAAAAAATGCTATATAATAACAAATCATGCAAATATGCTATGCACAGTATACATACTATGTATTGTATAAGTAGAGTAGTATGATAGCATACAGGTTTGAACAGCCTGAAAGTGTGCTGTCATAGAAACTGCACTCACCTCCAGAATGGCATTCTTCTGGGCTTCATTGACTTTTCCCGCGAGACAGCAGTGAGCGATGGCATTCTGGATGATTGGTTTGTTGGACTTTGCACTAGGCTCCTTAAATAACTTGGGCCCTGAGGACCGAAAGGAAAAATGCAAACTGAGCTAATGGTGCGGAAATGTTTTGTTATTTTGACTGAATAAACACATAATTCGGTATAAACACATTCAAGAAGAGCTGTAAATGTGTATAACTTACCATGGTATTCTGCTACAGATGTGATAGATGAGGCCGTTGAGCCGTTGTCCCAGTCTCGTTCCATGTTCCTGCTCGCATTTCGGCTCAATATGGGAAAAGATTCCACAGATTCCCCCCTACATTTGGGAATTATGTGTTATAATCTGTTAACTGTAGACACATGTCTAGACTGGAAGTGAATGATAATGCAATGAGTTACTGATAAAAACATTTTTTTGTTTTTTAATTCAAGAAATATTATGAATTACAATACATCAAACAATACAAATATTTAATAAAAAAAATTATGAATAACTAAAAATATATAAATTAAAATACATAAGTGAATTGAAAATTAATAAAGAAAGATACATGAATACAAAATACACTACAAATAAATTAAAAATAAATGAATTAATTTAAAATAAATGAAAATACATAAAGTAGCTCTGAATTAGCTAGTCTGTATCTGTCAACTCAAAGTGTGATGTGATAAAAATATATAAGTTAAAATACATGAATTAACAATAAATAAATACAAATAAATATATTAATAAACGAATTAATTAAAAACAAATAAATTAAAATTAATAAACTAGCTCTGAGGTAGCTAGATGGTATCCGTCAACTCACAGTATGATGTGACATAACGATATAGGGGTGATTTACTTAATCAGAACTACTAAAATGTTATCACAGTTTTGAAAGGAATCACACAGGTTTTTGAGCGATATGAGGGTGAGTAAATGATAACAAAATCAACACTTTTGCATATTTCTATCCCTTTAAGTCCAGAAAAGTGGGCTGCACACTGATGATACCCTGTTCCCGCTCACCTGTGTGAACTGGCCCCTCCTGACGCCACACTGTCACCTTCAGTAGCTGCAGAGGCCAATGAGAGAGACGATCCAGAGGGAGCAGAACAAAGACTAACCGCTGGAGAGAAGAAATGTGACGCTAAAATCAAATGTAGCATGTATAGATGCACAAATGAGTGCATGTCAAGTCAGAAATATGGCACTTTAAAAGTAAAGCTTTCTTACGAGCAGAACAGGTTGATTCAGCACGATGCAGCGATTTAGGGCGTGGCCTCCTGTTACGTGGGCGTGGTTTGGTCACGCCCTGTTCCTCCAGAAGTTCTTGCTGCTTCCTGCGCAGGTACTCCTGTTTGATCAGCTCCCTCCGAGTCTTTTCTTCCTCTTTACGCACACGCTCTTCCTCAGCTTTTCGTCTGACACAAACACACAAATGACATCAAATTTATCTGCTGCAGCCCTTCTACAGTATTTACTCACACAGAGACACACTGGATCGACCGTGATTGATACCTGGCTTCATCTCGTTTGAGCTCTGACCCCGCCTCCAGCTGCTGCTTACGTATTCGTGTCTCTTCAGCCTTACGCTGCTGTTTGAGAAGGAACGCCGCCCTCTTCTTAGCCAGCTCATCCTCTGCTTTCTGATCATCCTACATACAGAAAAGGAAAATAATAAAGCAATAAGCCCCAAGAAGCCATGGTTTACAGTGAATTTATAACAGTTAAGGGGCGTTGTTAGGCACGACGCGAAGCGGAGCTTTTATAAAACTGTTATTCCATATACGTAGTAAGGTTTCACAAAATAAAACCGAGCAAATAAAGTGTAATGATATTAATAAAAACATTATTCTTCCGCCAAACAATGTAGTTCCTCAGAAACTGTTGTGGTTCCAACAAAGTGGTTGCAGAGCAACACACAAACGTAAACAAAGGTGTATGTTTGTAGACTATGTTTATAACAGCTTCAAACTTGGCTCAACCAATCAGAATCAAGGACCGGAACTATCCGTTTTATAA